GGCCCCGCGCGGCGCCGCCGCGGAGGCGGCCGCGCTGGCAGTCCGCTCGCGAGCAGCACGCAGCATGGCCGCTGCGCCCAGTGAGCGCCTGGCCAGCGAGGCAGGCGCAGAACTGGCGCGCCGCGCGACGCTACGGGCGTCGGCGCGGCGCCCTGGCAAGGGCGGCAGGGTGCCGGCCCGAATGGGCGGGAAAGCCGCGGCCGCGATGCCGGCGGGGCCCGAGAGGTCTGGGCGCGCTCCCCCGAACGACTGGCCCTCGACTGGCCCTCGACGGCAGGAACTCCCCCCTGCGGCGGCGTGGCGCCCTCGCTGGAGGCGCGCAGGCCAGTCGAAGGGGCCTGCAAGGCGGCCGCCTGCGCGGCGGCTGCCAGAGCTGCTCGGCACGGTTCTGGCCCGCACTCGGAGCCACCCCCCGCAGAGGGGCAGGCGGCGGCTTCAGCAGCGGACGCGGGGGGCCCTGCACGTCCCGCACGGCGGCAGCGTGCGCCGCGGGGGCCTGCTCCGCACTCGCGGGAGCGGCCCCCGCGACACTGGGGCGCTGCAGGCAGCGCTCGAGCTCGGCAGGAAGCGCCTGGGAACGCGCCAGTGGCGCTCCGAGGCTCATCCGGCACGGCGCGGGCGCGGGCGCCGGGAGACGCGCCGGGGACCGAGTGCCGAGTGCCGACCCCGCTCGAACGATGCGCGTCGTCACGCCCTTTCTCCGCCGAGAGCGCTCTTGCCCAGAGCACGGCGGGCAGCGCCAGTGGGCGCCAGAGCGTCGGGGCCGATCACATCGCGCCCAGGCCCGAGGAGGAAGGCTTTGGCGTCGCTGGGCGCCCGCCACTTTCTGCAAGCCTCGAGCGAATGATCGCGGTCGGGGCGGCACGTCCTGCCCAACCGGCGAAACTGAGAGTTCACGCGATCAGGGGTCGCACTGCGCTCCAGATGGAGCAGATCGAGCGCGGCGAATAATTTGGCAGCGCGATCTGGGCGGTGGCGAACCTGATCCGCGACGGCCAGGCGACCCGACCGACCCTCCAACGACGCTGGAGTCGACTGGCCGTGGCGGATTGGGCCGCCCATCCCCCCTCCCCGGGGAAAGCCGCTCGCTTCCGGCAAGAGCGAGACGGGTCGAGTGTCCGCCTGGGGCGAATTCGGCTCGGACAGCGGCGAGTGCGTCGCTCCTGGAGCGAGACCACCGCTCGGGCGCGCCCTCTCCTGGCCCCCCGCCGACGGCGCGAACCCCTCCCTGCGGGGCCGCAGCGGCATCGCTGAAGGGGCGCATGCAGGCCAGCGGGGACGGAGGTGGGCTCGGCCTCCGGGGGTCGGCCAGCAAGCGATCACGGGCGCGAGCGCAGCGCGGCGCGGGGAACGTCACCGCCGCCGCGCTCGAGGGCACCTGAACGGAATCAGGGGCCCCCATGCGTGGCTCGGCCGTTTCAACTGCCTCGCGGCGGGAGGGCGCTGCGCAGGACAACTTGCTCAGTCATCTGCCGCGGCCCTGCGACCAACGATCGCGTTCTGAAGATCGCGGGGCGCCAGTTCCCGCGACCCAAGCTCTGGCGAGTTGCTGGCGCGGGGGGGCGCGAGAAGCGGCGGCCCCTCGGCCCCGGCGGAGACCGCCACGTCGCCCAGGTCGCCCCCCGCTGGCGCGCCCGGAGGGCGGGCTGCAGGGCGTCCGAGCAGGCCCGCGCCTGATGCGGGGCTGCGAGCCGGCACCTGCAGCGCGAACCAGCCCCACAGACAGGTCGGGCACGCGGAAGCAGCACCGGCGGCTGCGGCTGCTATCATGTCGAATCGCTCGAAACGACCCCCGTCTATGTCGAGTAGCCAAGCGGGCTCGGGGCGAGACGGGGGGCGGATGGGGGCGACCGCGCGCAGGGTCGCCCGCTCGATGGGCATCGGTCGGGAAATAGAGCCCGCCCACGTAGAGACCGCCGCCCAAGATGCAAGGCAGACAGGTGCTCAACATGCGTGAAAGGACAGGACCGCTGCTCCGACCGCGGGCGGCCGCGCCTGGGCGGATTGGGAATCCAGGAGAACTGGGATCCTCGAGCCGGGGTTGCGAACAAAACAGTATTTGCACAGACTCTTGAACACAATGGTCTCCAGGATGACGGCGTGGCGAGGCGCGCGGGAGGCCCACTTATACGCCAGTCGAAAGCGCAGCGCCTCCGACAGCTCACTGATCCAGAGCGGCGCGATGGGGGGCCCCAGACAGGGTAGCCCCAACTCGCAGCGCAGCTGAGTCAGGTCGGGCCCCGACGGGATCCCGCGGTTCAAGACCGCGAGCAAATAGCGGTCGCGCAGACGAGTGTGCCAGCCGCCATGCTCAAAGCGCAGCCGCAGTTCTTGCGACGGATGCGAGCTGATGTCGCTGCGGACCACCCCGCCCCAGTTGAGGGAAGCGCCCGCGCCGAACACTTCGGGGGAAGGCTTCGCCCGAAGGTCGGTCGTCGCAACGAAAGCCAGGTAGGCGCAGGCCTGCAACACGTCGCGAACCGAGGACGGGAGCTCATATTCGAGCCCGTCGTCGGGAAGGATCGAGATGAAGGTGCAGACGCGGGTGAAGATCGACAGGATG